GATGGATGGATGGATGGATGGATGGATGGATGGATGGATGGATGGATAGATAGATAGATAGATAGATAGATAGATAGATAGATAGATAGATAGATAGATAGATACGTAGATAGATAGATAGATAGATAGATAGGATAAGATATAGATAAGAGAAATAGAAATTGATAAACATAATAAATAGAAATATAGATAGATAATAGAAGATAGATAGATAGAAATAGATGATGATAGATATAGATGGATGGATGGATAGATAAGATAGAAATGGAAATAGATAAACTTAATAAATAGAAATATAGATAGACAATAGAAGATAGAAATAGATGATGATAGAGATAAATGTTGGATGGATGGATGGATGGATGGATAGATAAGATAGAAATAGAAATAATAAACATAATAGAAATATAGATAGGTAATAGAAGAGATAGAAATAGATGATGATATAGATGTTGGATGGATAGATAAGATAGAAATAGAAATAGATAAATATAATAGAAATATAGATAGATAATAGATGATCGTTATAGATGATAGGATAGAGATAGATGATGGATGGATGGATATATAGAGATATGGGTGATAGATGAAGCAGACAGACCTGCTCCTCAGCCACAAGCTCAGTCTTTCTCCTGGATGTTTCTTTTCTGGTTTTGGCAAAGCTCCCTTGGAGCCTTCATGGCTCTGTTCATTCACCGCTGCTGGGTGAATCAATTCTTTTATCTCTCTCGGTTCACCTCTTTTATTTTCAGCGTGAGAGGTAGCAGGAATGCTTAGTTTTCCCAGGAACGGAGCAGAACAGCAGAACCGGACTTCTGTGCCTGGTTCTCATGGTTGGCCTCTCTCCCAACCCCCAACCCCTGCCCCCTGCGTTTGCCATCTTTAGGCCGGCCCGCTGGCACAAAGCCAAGAAGGTCCAGCTGACCCCCGGCCAGACGGAGGTGAAGATCGACCTTCCGCTGCCCATTGTGGCGTCCAACCTGATGATCGAGTTTGCCGACTTCTACGAGAACTACCAGGCCTCCACGGAAACCTTGCAGTGCCCCCGATGCAGCGCCTCGGTCCCCGCCAACCCCGGAGTCTGCGGAAACTGCGGGGAGAACGTCTACCAGTGCCACAAGTGCCGGTGGGTGAGCTTTGCCCCCCGCCCACCCTCTCCAGGGGTTCCAGGATGGAGGAAGGGGCGCCCTTGGGGTGGACACCCCCCACACCTGACACAGCTGCAGAAATCTTGGGGCTCTCCTGGTCTGGTCCTAGAAGGAGATTTGGGTTTTTCCGTCTCTTCGGGGAGGGGGGAGCGATAATGAGATTTCAGCAGGGCCCCCCTCGGTGTTGACTCCCAGGTCGATCAACTACGACGAGAAGGACCCCTTCCTCTGCAACGCCTGCGGCTTCTGCAAGTACGCCCGCTTTGATTTCATGCTGTTCGCCAAGCCGTGCTGCGCTGTGGACCCCATCGAGAACGAAGAGGACCGGAAAAAGGTTAGGGTCAGCAGGAGGAGGGGAGGAGGAGGAAGAAAAAGGGGATCAGAGGAAAAGGATGGGAGGAGGAGGGGGAGAGGGAGGAAGAGGAAGGGAGACTAGTGGTAGTTCTGGTGGAGGAGGAGGAGGAGGAAAAGGGGAAGAGGAAGGAGGGAGATTTTGCTGCCTCGCTTCCCCCAGGAAACCATTTGTCCTCCTTTAGAGAGTCTGTTCCACCCCCAACACAGTACAGTTAATCCTTGGCTTTACAAAAGCCCGTTTAGTGACCATTCAGAGTTACAGCGGCGTTGAAAAAAAGTGACTTAGGACCTTTTTTTCAACATTTTTCATGTCTTACCCGAAACTTGGGGTTGTGCTCAAACTGGGAGTGACCCACTGCCTGGTTTGGGTTGGAAAAAGAGCTTGGCCCCTGGGCCGGGCATTGGAGTGAGCCAGAGAGCCTCCATTCACTGCCTGGGAGCAGGCCGCGGCTTATCCCCAAACTTTAGCAGGGATCAGCAACCTTAAACACTCAAAGAGCTACAAAGGTCCTAACCGGAGGCTCCCTACTCAGTTCTGGAGCTGACCAGACGTCTGGTTCCCCTTACTATAGAGTCTCTTCCTAGCACGGCCTCCTTTTTCCTCTACCTGTCCTAACCGAAAGCCCTATCGCTTGTGGAGCCGAGAGGGAGGAAAGGGCCACATGTGGCTCCAGAGCCGCAGGTTGCTGACCCTTGGCCCCTGCTTTGCAGAGACGTTGGCGGGAATGTTGCTGTCCCCAAGGCCTTGGGAGCCCGGGATTGTTTAGTTAAGCCAACACATAATCGGAGCGCCATGGCGTTTTTTTTCCACCCGCCAGGCTGTGACCAACATCAACACCCTCCTGGACAAGGCTGACCGGGTCTACCACCAGCTGATGGGCCACCGACCCCAGTTGGAGAATCTGCTCTGCAAAGTGAACGAGGCAGCGCCCGAAAAGCCACAGGTAAGCGAGAGGCGGAGAGGCCGCCCTGTGTGGACTCCGGGCGAGGCGAGGCGAAGCCGCCCTGGCCTGACTTTTTTCTTCTCCTTCCCGTGCCAGGATGACTCCGGGGGCAGCGGAGGCCTCAGCTCCACCTCAGCCAGCGTGAACAGGTACATCCTCCAGCTGGCACAAGAGTATTGTGGTGACTGCAAGAACTCCTTTGACGAGCTCTCCAAGATCATCCAGGTAATCCCTTCCATCATCCGAGCAGAGCGGGACAGCGGCTGCCAGATTGCCCCTTGAACTGGCCTTGCTCCACCAACCCCCCTCCTCTTTAAGCAGGTTGGCTGTTGAGGTCAGAAACAGCTGGTGGATTCAGGCCAGGCTTCATCAGGGCTGCTAGTCCAGAGTTCCCCAACCTTTCCGGCTTTGCGGACAGGTGGAGGTGGAAGGGGTCATTCCACACAAGTGGTGGACAAGCGTGCGTGTGTGTGTGTGTGCAGCTCCGTTGGTGCGAGCCGTGGGCAAGCTCGGCCTCCGCTCTTGCAAACAGAGTGCACGTAGGTGCTCTTCTGTTGCTTCGGGCGGCCTGGTCCTGAACAGCTCATGACCCGTCGTGGGCCGTGGCAAAGTGGGGTTGGGGACCCCGATGCTAGTCGGCCTTTGGCTGCTCTGGTGGAAGTCCAGCTCCTTGATCGCCGTGTTATGCCCCCATTCTGGCTCAGCCCCCTCTCTTCTCTAACCTCTCCCCAGAAAGTGTTCGCCTCCCGGAAGGAGCTCCTGGAGTACGACCTCCAGCAGAGAGAAGCCGCCAGCAAGTCCTCCCGCTCAGCCGTCCAGCCCACCTTCACCGCCAGCCAGTACCGTGCCCTCTCAGTCTTGGGTTGCGGTCACACCTCCTCCACCAAATGCTACGGCTGCGCCTCGGCCGTCACCGAGCACTGCATCACGCTGCTCCGGGCTTTGGCCAGCAATGCCGCCATCCGCCACATCCTGGTCTCCCAGGGCCTCATCCGGGAGCTCTTCGACTACAACCTGCGCCGAGGGGCTGCCAGCATGCGGGAGGACGTCCGCCAGCTCATGTGCCTCCTCACCAGGTGGGCCTTGGCGGCTAGCTGCCTCTCCTTCCCTCCTTCCTTTTGGCCCCTGTGCCAAGGGCAGGTAACAACGGCACTCAGGCAGCCTCTTGCATTGGATTCGCTTTGCCTGTGGAGAACCTTGGGCCCTTGAACCTGCTCAGTACTGAAGGTCAGTGTCAGACCTGCCCCGGTCTGACCTCTTAGGAAAGAAAGACCCTCGACTCCCGTTTGGTTGAAGTGTCGAATTCTTTTACTAAAAAATGCTAGCCGTAGTAAAATCAGGCTAGAACTAAATTTCCCACATGAAGAAGGTAGAAAGTTTTCCCCTTATCCCAGCCCTCATGACCCGTTTGTCTTCAGCCAATGACGAACCGCATAGGTTCTCAGAGGGTGCGACCACAAAGGGCTGGCCCAAACCGGTTTCTTGCTTCCCTGGGTTCCTTCAAGCTGTCCTTCCCCCCTCTCTATTTCCCATCACAACTCTACACCTGTTCCTCGCCCATTTGTTCTTCCCGTGTTCTTCCCCACTCCGAGCTTTGGATGGCAGGAGGCCGGCGAGGCGCCAAGGCGAAGATGGCAGACCGGACAATCAGTTAAAGCTGATTTGAACTCAGACAAAGGTCTGCCTGATCTCTTTTTGAGAACTGCCATTGATGGAGCATCGACAACTTCCGGAGGCAAGCCGTCCCACGGATTCCTTGTTCTGCCGGGAAATTTCTCCCTATTTCTGGGGAGATCTCTCGGAGGGTTGAATAAGCTTCCATCCGTGACTTCTATCCCCTCCATCTTCCCATCCATCTACCTTCCATCTATACTTCTTGACCTGCCCGTCAAACACGGGGAAATCAGGAGATTCAGACCATTCAAATGAGTATAAGGATTTACTGCGGGCTTAAGCTCTCTACAAGAAACCGGCCAACTATAACAGTCAAGGGAAAGGAGTGGGAGATAAGACAGGCATCTAAGGTGGGCTGGACTTGGGGCCATCCACCTGTTTCTAGCAGCTAACACAACTGGCTAGTGAGCTTTTGTGTTCTAGGGGGTGGTGTTATTACAAGAGCCGGATATAAGAACTATATGTGTATTTGTGTGCATATATGTTGGGGCTCCCTGTGACACTTTAAAGATGCTTTAAAAAAAAACTATTAAATTTTACACTATTAAAAACAAATCATATATACAATTTTTGCAGTAAGTTGTGGCATCAACTTTTCTGTATTCATTTATACATACGTATATACATACATACGTATGATTTACATTTTGCATTGTCTTTTATTCCTGTTATCTAACCAAACATACCATTTTCCCAGACCATATAGAAATCTTTTTCTTCCTTCTCCTGCAATTCCATTGTAAGTTTATTCATTTCTGCAAAATCCATAATTTGTTTTTATAATCATATTATCTGTGGGACTACTCTCTAATTTCCAATTTCGGGCATATGTTATTCTAGCTGCTGTCAATATATGTATTATTAGATAGTCAATATCTTTCTTGTAATCGCCTCTAAGGACATATTCCTAATAAGAACATTTCAGGCTTCAGTTCTGTTTCTAAACCAATTATTTCTTGCAACCAGATCCTTATTTTATTCCAAAATTTCTTTTGCTTTCAAACATGACCACCACATATGAAAGAAGGTGCCTGGTGCCTTCTTGCATTTCTAAAGATGCTTTTGTTTTATCCTCTTGTCTGCAACCAGAGACAACCCAGAAGCTACCCAGCAGATGAACGATCTCATCATCAGCAAAGTGTCCGCAGCTCTGAAGGGCCACTGGGCCAATCCTGACCTGGTGAGCAGCACTGGCCATCCTCTTCCTCTCCCTCCCTCCCTCCCTCCCTCCCTCTTTGGTCGCCCCTTGGGGCTGGGGCCTCCTCCGTAAAATGGCCTTCCAGCCTTGGCACCCCAAGACGGTCCTTTCCTTTTCCTGCCAAAGGGATGTTGAACCGACCTCAGAGTCTCCCTGGCTCCATCAGCAACCCGGGGGACATAGATGCAACACCCCGTAACTCTCTCCTCCTCCCTCCCCACCCTTGTAGGCCAGCAGCCTTCAGTACGAGATGCTGCTGCTGACGGACTCCATCTCCAAGGAGGACAGCTGCTGGGAATTGCGCCTCCGCTGTGGTGAGCCCTGGGAGGCCAGTTATGGCGGGAAGTGGGGGTGGAAAAGGAGACGGAGAAGCGGGTGGGTGGGTGCTGCTGGGGGTTGGCAGGGGTTTGGGTGAGCCCCAAGCTAAGATTCTGTGCAGTTTGGAGAACCCCACCACCCAATCTCACTCCTGGCTCCCTCCCAGGAGCCCCCATGCAGCCCATTTTGGATGCAGGTAAGTTCAGGGCCCACGCAGAGTCTCGGGGAGGGCGAAAATCGGGCCTCCCAGAAGTTCGGGAAGGCCGGAAATGGGCCCGTTTCCAGCTTCCAGAGAGCCTCCGGAGCCCAGGGAGGCCGTTTTCATCTTCCCGGAGTCTCGAGGAAAGCCTCAGGAGTCCGGGGACGGCAAAAACTCACACACTCCGCCGTGGGGTAGGAGGCCGACTAGGCCCTGCCCACCATGACCACGCCCACTCAGCCACCGAGCAGAGGACCTGTTGCTAAAAATTTTTGAAGCCCACCCCTGGGGAGAAGGCCCAAAGAATCTGCTCCCACCCCATCCCAGGGGGAGGAGAGACGCCATCCCCACTGGGACAGAAGTCAGCAGGGGAGGGAGAAATATCATTTCTGGACCGATTCTGACTCCCTCCCCCCCCTCCCCCCGTTTGTTTCTCCCCAGCCCTCAGCCTCTTCCTCATGGCCGTGAACATCAAGACACCGGTGGTTGTGGAAAACATCACCCTGATGTGCCTACGGATCCTTCAGAAGCTGATCAAGCCCCCGGCACCCACCAGCAAGAAGAACAAGGTACCTGCCTGGCTTGTCTCCCTCCCCTCATCCCAGCCTCAGGTGTGTGGGCGGACGGTTGTAGCAGCGATGTCCCGAGGGCTCTTCCAGACTCTCTTGTTGGGCTCCCCAGGACATGCCAGTGGACTCCCTGACCACGGTCAAGCCCTACAGCAACGAGATCCACGCCCAGGCCCAGCTGTGGCTCAAAAGGGATCCAAAGGCCGCCTACGAGGTGTGGAAGAAGTGCCTCCCGGCCAGAGGTGTGTGTTGTTGCGGCTCGCGGGCAGCTGACAGAGCTGGCAACAGAGTCGGAGAGTAGGGAGGAGGTTGGGGAGGAACCTGGGCCAGTCTTGGAGTTTGGGGAGGGCTCAGACGAGGGCTCTGCGTCGTCAGAGGCAGGGATGGGGGCCAGGGCAGGCTGGCAGTCATCGGCTGCCTTCCGGCTCAGACAGCAGTGAGGCAGGGGAGCTTTTGGAACCAGTTCCCAGCTTGCGCATGCACGGGGCTACCAGAAGACAAGAACAGCTGGGAAAGCGGGGTCGACTCAGGAGTAAGGCCCCCACCTCTGAGATGATTGGCCCCTCCCATAGGACACAAAAAGAGGAGCGAAGGGGATGTGAGTTTTTGCAGGAAGCAATTAGTTCGTCTGGTCGGTTCCAAGCTTTGAAAAGTTCTGTTTGACTCTGCGTCACCTTTGGCCTTGCCCTGGCTCTATGGCCGCATTCCAAGTGCGATAAGAGGGGGGGGGGGTGTTTATCAACATTCCCCTGGAAGACTCTTTGTGAAGCCTTGCAGGCTGGGAATGGGCGTAATTCCCAGCCGTGGAAATAAAAGAGGCTTTGCCGGAACGAAGATCGTGTGTTTTATGCCGGTCGGAACAGCATGCCTCCCACCTCCCTTTACTGGCTTCCTCCCCCAGCCGGGAGAGGGAAGGCCGAGGATGCTCAGCCTTGAGAAGGGCAGCCAATCCGCCCTGCAGCTCACTCCCATCGCCGTCTTTCAGGCCTCGACGCCAACGGGAAATCTCCCAGCCGGACGGAGCTCCGCCACCTCTACCTGACGGAGAAGTACGCCTGGAAGTGGAAGCAGTTCATGAGCAAGCGGGGGAAGAGGACCTGCCCCCTGGACCTCAAGCTGGGACACAACAATTGGCTGCGGCAGGTGAGACGCGCCCACGCACACATGGGGGTGGGGGGGAGGAGGAAGAAGAAGAGGTGAAGGAGTTGAAGAAGAAGGGAAGAAAAAGGAGAAGAGGAAAAGTGAAGGAGGAGAAAGAGGAGGTAGAGGAGGAGAGGAAGAAGGGGAAGGAGAAGGAAAAGGAGAAGAAGAGGAAGATGGAGGTGGGGAAGGAAGAAGAGGAGGAGGGAGGGGAAGGAAAAGGAGGAGAAAAAGAAGGAGGAAGAGAAGAGGAGAAGAGGAAGAAGGGGGAGTGGAAGGGGGAGGGGGAGGAAGAAAGCCCAGATGCTTGGAGAAGACAGTGCCAAGAAGCAGAGCCATCCTGAGGGCCGGGGAAGAAGATTCTCCAAGGAATGAGGCGGGATCCATGCCATGGGAGGGCCCAGGGGGCATCTCCTGCCTTCTCCTTCCCCCGTTTCCAGGTCTTGTTCACCCCAGCAACCCAAGCAGCCCGGCAGGCGGCTTGCACCATCGTGGAAGCCCTGGCTACCATCCCCAGCCGCAAGCAGCAAGTCCTTGACCTGCTGACCAGGTAAGGCCCAGGGCAGGTGAGGAAGGGGGGGGCTGCTGCTCCCCTTCGGCTTTCTGACTTCTGGATGTCCTCCTCCTCCCCCCTCCTCCTCTTCCTCCTCCTTCTCCCTTCTTCCTGCCAGCTACCTGGACGAGCTGAGCGTGGCGGGAGAGTGTGCCGCAGAGTACCTGGCCCTCTACCAGAAGCTCATCAAGCCAGCCCGCTGGAAGGTCTACCTAGCAGCCAGGGGCGTCCTGCCTTACATCGGCAACCTGATCACCAAGGTACGGAGCCCTGTGGGAGGGGACTCCGGCCCTCCAGCTTCATTTTGAAGCATTAAAAAAAAACCAACCCCTCCCTGCTTTGGAATCTGGTTGATCCTCCAGAGGATCCATTGGCTCGTCCCAACAAGGACAGCGGACGGGGAGGGTGGGTAGTGGAGTCTCAAAAGAGCTGGAAAAGCCACCGCTTGCTCCGGAGACATTTAGCTCAGACTCTGGAAGGTTAAAAGGAGCCCCCCCTTTTTGGGGGGGATGTTCAGCCTCCCTCACTCCTAGGGGGCAGTTTTGGTCCTTCTTCCTTCCCCTGGCCATTCTGGGCCTCTTCAAGGCTGGACACCTCTCCGTTTCAGGAAATCGCCCGTCTCCTGGCCCTGGAGGAAGCCACGCTCAGTACCGACCTGCAGCAGGGCTACGCTCTCAAGAGCATCACCGGTAGGACAGCCGCAAGGGATTCCCCACCCCCACCCCGCATGCCCACCCATCTTCCCTTTGGTTTCCCTGTGGCTCTGAGGCCCCTGGCCAGCCCCCTGTGGCTCAGCGGCCGTCCCTGCCCACTCTCCTGCCAGGCCTCCTGTCCTCCTTTGTGGAAGTTGAGTCCATCAAGCGCCACTTCAAGAGCCGGCTGGTGGGGACGGTGCTGAACGGCTACCTCTGCTTGCGGAAACTGGTGGTGCAGCGCACCAAGCTGATCGACGAGACCCAGGACATGTTGCTGGAGATGCTGGAAGACATGACCACAGGTAGACGGCGTGGGTGGGGGAGAGCCACCATTGGCTTGGTTCAGCCTACGCCACCCTTGCTGGGCTCGGCCAGGGAGGGAAGAAGAAACAGGAGTCTGCCTAAGGAGCAATGTTCTCTCTACTTGAGATAGCAACGGCCCTTAGACTTATATACCGCTTCACAGTGCCTTTACAACCCTCTCTAAGTGGTTGACAGAGTCAGCCTCTTGCTCCCAACAATCTTGGTCCTCATTTTACCCACCTTGGAAGGACGGAAGGCTGAGTCAACCTTGAGCCGGTCAGGATCGAACTGCTGCCAATGGGCCGAGTTTCCCTGCAATACTGCATTCTAACCAGTAGGAGGGAGGGAAGGAAGGTAGCAATAGCCCTTAGGCTTATATACCACTTCCCAGTACTTCCCAGCCCTCTCTACACCGTTTACAGAGTCAGCCTCTCGCCCCCAATAATCTGGGTCCTCATTTTACTAACCTCGGAAGACTGGAAGGCTGAGTCGACCTTGAGCCAGTTGGTCAGGATTGAACTGCTGGCAGTGGGCAGAGTTAGCTTGCAATATTACATTCTAATCACTGGGAAGGAAGGAAGGAAGGGAAGGGAAGGGAAGGGAAGGGAAGGAAGGGAGGAAGGAAGGAAGGAAGGAAGGAAGGAAGGAAGGAAGGAAGGAAGGGCCCTTAAGACTTATATTCACAGTGCTTTCCAGCCCCCTCTAAGCGATTTACAGAGTCAGCCTTTTGCCCCCCAAACAATCTGGGTCCTCATTTTACCCACCTCGGAAGGACGGAAGGCTGAGTCAACCTTGAGCCTGGTGAGATTCGAACTGCCAAATTACAGGCAGCCGGCAGTCAGCCGAAGCAGCCCTGCAGTGCCACACTGTCACCACTGCACCACCGAGGCTCGTGTTCTTTTTTTTTTTAAAGGGGGAAAATCAACTTAGCTTCTTAGTTTTGGGAAAGAACGCATGTGGATTCTTCTTCTTTCCTTTGAGTGGGGTCTGATAGCCTCCCTGGCAAACCCTATCGGCCCATCCCAGGGAAGGAGCCACTTTGGGGAGCGTACCACCCCCCACCCCCAGTGAGCCCCAGCCTCCTCCCTTCCCATCCAACTCGCCCACAGGCACGGAGTCGGAGACCAAGGCTTTCATGGCCGTCTGCATCGAAACCGCCAAGCGCTACAGCCTGGACGACTACCGGACGCCCGTCTTCATCTTCGAGAGGCTCTGCAGCATCATCTACCCGGTAAAGAGGGCCGGGGGGCTACCTGGCCCTGATCCTACCTGGCGGGGGGGGGGGGGGGCGAGAGCAGAGAGGCCAAAGAGGGTGTTTAACCAGTGGTGGGATTCAAAAAAATTTTATTGCCAGTTCTGTGGGCGTGGCTTGATGGGCGTGGTAGGGGAAGGATACACTGCAAAAGCCCAATTCCCTCCCCCACACCCCGCTAACCTGCTTTCCAGCTCCGTTCTCCTGGGCAGGGCAACCAAAGAAGAGCCGATCAGCTGGGACTCAATGGGAAGCAGAGAAGAGATATGGGGTTGGTGGGGCCAGTCAGAGGTGGGATTGGCCGGTTTCTCCGAACAATTCAAAATTTCCCGATACCGGTTCTCCAGAACCGGTCAGAACCGGCTGAAGGGCCCCCCTCTGTGTTTAACTCAGCTCACCCCTAAAGAATTTGGGGAGCCACTGCTTCAGCTCTTCGCTCTTTTCTCGTGACCCAGGAAGGGCCACGGGGCAGCACGGTCTGGGGGCTCTTGGCAACTCTCAGCCATTGGTGGCAGCCAGCCAGTCAGCAGAAGTAGCTTGCAGTGCTACACTCTTAACCCCTGCGCCACATGAAACCGGCCTGCTCTGAACTGAATTGAGACTGTTCCTCTCCTCTGCCTGGACTCTGCTATTTAGTATTGTACATTTACTCATCTGTTTATATTTATATAAAGAAGTTCACGATGCTGCAAACTCTTAATAAATTTGGGCCAACAACCAAATATTCTCAGTTAACCACAATGGCAACTCCAAAAAGCCTATCAATATGTTTGAGCAGCAAGGAAGTGTGTGTGTTAAAATGCTTCCCTTATACCGGGGGTCTTCAAACTTGACAGCTTTTAAGACTCGTGGACTTCCACTCCCAGAATTCCTCCTCCAGTCATGCTAACTCAGGAATTCTGGGAGTTGAAATCCACAAAGTCTCAAACTTGCCGAGTTTGAAGAACCCTTGCCTTATAACGTATCTTTGGGGGCGGGGGAAAAAAAGACCATGGACTTTGCAAACTTCCCGCCTCTCTCAGGAGGAGAACGAAGTGACGGAGTTCTTTGTCACGCTGGAGAAGGACCCTCAGCAAGAGGATTTCCTGCAGGGCCGGATGCCCGGGAACCCCTACAGCAGCAACGAGCCAGGCATCGGCCCGCTGATGAGGGACATCAAGAACAAGATCTGCCAGGACTGCGACTTGGTGGCTCTGCTGGAAGACGACAGCGGGATGGAGGTGAGGAGGCCGGGACCGAGCTGGAGTGGGGGTGGGGTGGCCAGGCTTGGAAAGGGGTAGTGGTGAGATTTTATGCACACCCTCCTTCATTTATGAAGCCCGGGGTTCACCGCGGTGGCTTTCTGTGCTTGGGGTAGAGCAATGATGGCTGTCCGAAAGGCAATGTGCGCGCAGCACCGTGCCCCCTGCACAAGCACCGCAATCCCCCGTGTGCAGTGTGCACCTCTGTGCATGCATGTACGTCTCCCGTGTTCGTGTCAGCCCCGCGCGCGTGGCAGATACCCAATCTTTGGCTGGCTGGGGTTGTGTGTGCGCATGCACAGTGGATCAGTTCCGGGTGACAGCTCGTGTGCTGGCAAAAATGGCTCTGCGTGCCACTTCTGGCACGCATGCCATAGGCTTGCCGTCATGGGGGTAGAGGGGTGCTTCCAAAAAGAAGCAGCCCTTCCCCATTTTAAAACCGACGTCCTCGTTCACCACCCCGCTGTGTTTTTTTTTTTTTTTTTCCTTTCTTCCTCCTGTTTATTTCAGCTTCTGGTGAACAACAAGATCATCAGCTTGGATCTCCCGGTGGCCGAAGTGTACAAGAAAGTCTGGTGCCCGACAAACGAGGTGAGGGGTCCTTTCCTCCCTTCGGCCTCTCCCTTCCCTGTGCCCTGTCCAAGCCACCATCTTTCCCACACACACACACACACACACAAGATTTTGCCCAGGGGTGGGATTCTACCAGTTCGCACCTATTCGCTAGAACCGGTTGTTAACTTTCTAAGCAGTTCAGAGAATCAGTTGTTAGAAGAAATTACTGGGCTAATCCTGTAAGGAAGGCAGGAAGGAAACATTCTGGTGTTGCTTACAGAAACTGCCTCTCCGTTAACCCTTATTACATTCTTGGCAGGACTAGACTTTCCTTCCCCTTCTCCTTCCCCCTTCTCCTCCTCTTCCTCCTCTTCTTCCTCTCCTTCCCCTTCTCCTTCCCCCTTTTCCTCCTCCTCCTTCTCCTCTTCCTCTTCTTCTTCTTCCTCTCTTTCCCCTTCTCCTTCCCCCTTCTCCTCCTCCTCCTCTTCCTCCTCCTCCTCCCCTCCTCCTTTTTTTGGTTCCCGCAATCCTCCTAATGCCGCTTAGCCCGTTGTGTGATGGGCCCATCTAGGTATGTCAGGAGAGAGTTACGGGCCCATTAGGAAGCCTTAGATAAGACGGCCTTTCCTGGGCAATAAACAGGATCCGGGGATTGATTTTATCCCAGGGAAGAGAAAAGGGGTCCGCGGCTGTGTGCTATCAAAAATTCAAAAATACCTTTGTAGGCGAGCATTTTCGGGAGGGGATTAGAAGTCTTGATATCTTTGCTTTTAACTCCTGGTGCCAAACTTTGGGTATTATCCCCCAGAAAGCCTCTAGGAATGAATATGTTAAAATAACCCTGCCTTGTCATCTGAGTTCAAAAGAATCTCATGCTTGTCGGGAAAGCAGCCGGGAGATTAATTCATTCAGACGCGTGTCTCCAAATGGCCTCGGCTTTGAATGCGGTGACAGTTTTTTGAACAAAAGCCTGCATTTTTTTTTCCCATCACGGAGCCCCGTAAAACAGACGGGAACTGAGAAGGGATTCTGGTCCCTTTTGATTTCCCCCCCCCCTCCTGTAGGGCCCGGAGAGGCAGCAGAGGGGAGAACCCTGGACAGTCCTTAACTTACAACGGTTTGTTTAGTGGCTGTTCGAAGTTTACAACGAGGCCGGGGGGAAAATGCAATTAAATGACTGCTGCGGCATTCGCCTGAGCCAAGTTCACACACTTGGCAGCCGACTCACATTTATGGCAGCTGCTGGTATCCCTTCTGTCGAGGGAAGGCCAAGTGACTTAACTCAACCACTGCGGCGATTCACTTAACAGCTCTGGCAAGAAGGGTCATAAAACGGGGCCAAATTCTCTTAGCCAATGCCCTGCTTAGCAACAGGAAATGTTGGGCCCCACTGCGGTCGTACGGCGAGGACTGCCTGCATGTCCCAGGCTGCTTTTCCACTTAGCTAAGGCCATTGGCGGTTTCCTTCAATAGACGCCACCCTTAAGTTTCGGTTGCAAGTACTCCTCGACGTATAAGCCCGATTTCCATTGCTTAAGCAAGGAGGTCGTTAAGTGAGCCACACTTGATTTTACCACCCTCCCCCCCCCCCATGGCTGTTAAGCAGATGTCAGAGTTCCAAGTACAGTGGAGCAATCCGTTTCAGGATTTTGGACATGACCCGATTTGGTCGCGAACAGAAGTGAGATGTCAACGTTCCAGAAAACTTCCACTCCAACCAATAACTCCGGGAGACAGAAACTTCTCAAAAGTTCTGTTTTAATTGGAGAGTAAACAGACACATCTGGGGAGTCCCAAATCTGGAAGTTCCGGGCTTCCTTGCAATAAGTAAAACATTACAAATCCACCCCCTGCACCCATCACCGCATCACATGCCCCAATCACCCAACTTGAGACGTCCTCTCACCCAGGTGCAGAAACAACGTGACCTTGACTTAGAAAAAGAATGTTGTTATGTCTTAACTGCATACACTCCAAGAAATTCCCCCCTCCCATTTTCCCTGCTCAAAATGTGGCAGTATGGGAGCATCTGGTCTCAATATGGCTTCCAAAGCTGACATGAGACTGCGCATGCTCAGCTTACAATTCTGCGCATGCGTGGAAGGGGAAATTGCTGCGGGAGAGAAATGGCCGCGGCCGTACTGTTTCGGCAGCCAAAACGATCTGTTCACAACCAGAAGCAACAAATTTTTGGTCGTCACCCAATTTGGTCGCGATCAGAAGCTTTCACTGAGGTTCCACTGTAATGCATCCCGTTCAATAAGAAGTCCGAGGCAGGCAAATTCCTCAAAGAACATTTTTATTAGGACATATCAAATTGGCACATTCCTGGTGGGAAACCGGCTCTTAAGTTCCCACCAATTAAAAGTAAAACTTTATCCCGTCCCCTCAGAGTCTCCCGTCCCATGGTCCAATCAGCATCCAGCCCGGTTGCTAGGTGACCTCGGTCTCCACCCTTCGGACACCTGCACCAACGTCCTTGATTCCCAGGGAAAGCATTTCATTTCGGCTATGGCTCCCCAGCTAATCTCTCTACACACACACACACACACACACACACCCCTCCCTGGCCCCCTTATCTCCAGGCTATGTCAGCCCTGAAGCTGTGAGAAGAGAAACCCTCCCTCGAAAGCTACAAAAAAGGGGAAACGGCCGCCGTTCAGTCAACTTCAAGGTTGGCAGCAGAACACTGCGGGATGTTAAGTGAATCATACGGTCGTTGAGTGAACCTGGTCCCCCACCCCTTAACTCTGCTTGTGTGAAACTGGATGGGGAAAAAAAATCCCAGGGGGCGTTCCTGGGATCTTGGGAAGGCGCAGCCGTCGCAAATACATCGGACACATAACTCGGACTGTGACACACTCTCATTGCTGTGACAGTTGTGACTGCCCTTGTGACTTCGAGCCACTTTAAACAAACGGCGCCCGTGGACTCTTGCAAGGGGGGGCCACAGAGAGTTGGGCAGAGCAAATAGGAACGACCAAGGCCGGATAACCCTTAGAAGAGGTTCCTTTTTGCCAGAAGCTGCGATATTATTTGGTTGTTGATGCAACAATAACAACAATAATAATAATACACAATTGTTTAAAAGCATTCCTGGTTAATCCATTAAATCTTAAGAAAATAATTTTTCCCTCTGGAATAACAGTAGAAAGCTCCTGGCTGCGGCTGTCTTTAATTCTGTTTGCAGAATGGACCCTTTGGTGTTTTTTTTTCTGGGCTCACTCACACACAGGGCCTTGTGCGAGTGAGGGCCACACAAAACACTCAAGCCACAAGCTGTCTCGTCCTGGCCTGCTTTGGAGTTTCCCTCTTCACTGACACGGGTACGTGCGAACAGAGGCTGGGCGGCTTCTGCTGTCCCGTTAAAGTCTCTTCCGTTCAGAATCGGCACCGTCCTCCGACTTAACAACAACAGCTTGCTTCATCTCAGGAGGCCCATAGCTGGCAAGAGCGGGTGCTTCTCCCACCCCCCCGAGCAAAACTTTGGGGTTTGCTGTTGGTTTTTAAAAGCTGGCCTTAACAACCCCTTGTCCCGTGGGGCAAGTTGTAAAGAGTTTGCAGACCAAGAGAGCCAACCCAGAACCCTTTTCTCCAAAGCATCTGATAGCAGAACCAAGAAGCAACGGATGGATAAGACCGCTTGATGAAAGCCTTAGAGCAAGGCCAGACCTTGGAGGCCTGCATTCTCTTTTGGTTCCCCACGTTACAAAAACAGATGTTGAGGCTTTAGGGAAAAGCAGAGAGAAAGGGCAACTAAGATGATTAAAGGCCTGGGGATTAAAAGACACGAAGACCGGTTGCAGGATTTGAGTTTGGCTCGTCCAGAGAAAAGGACTAGGGGAGGACAGGATAGCAATATTTTAGCATTTGAGGGGCGGCCGCAAAGAGGAGGGGGGTCCATTTATTTTCCAAAGCAGCAGAGGACAGGAGAAGAAGGAACAAGGGGTGGAAACTGATCAAGGAGAGAAGCAACCTGGAATTGAGGAGAAACATCTTCCTAACCGTGAGGACGATTAACCAGTGGAACAGAAATTGCCACCGGAAATAGTGGCTTGCTCCATCACTGGTGGTTTTTAAGAAGAGACCGGACAGTCGACTTGTCTGAGATGGTGTAGGTTCTTGGGCTGGACTAGAAGACCTCCAAGGTCCCTTCCAACTCTTGTTATTCTGTTATTCTCAGAAGTCTGGGAAGAACAGCACGGCGCCTCGCAAACCCCAGGTGTTTCCCCTCCCCATCCGTTCTCTCCCTCTTACCTTTTACTGGAAAGGAGCAGTGGCTCCCCAAAAAGTCTCCATGCCAGGCCCATGGTTTTTTTTCCTTCTTCTTCTCCTTGCCTTTGGCCAGCTCTCTTCACGTTGGCTGCTGCTGCTGCTGCTGCGGCTTCTCCAGAGACCCCCGTTTCCCCTTGGGGCTTCCCCAGCTGCGCTCAAAATCTCCTCTTGACATTAAGCGCCGGCTTATTCGACGCCGGGCTTAGCGGCTGCCTTCCTTGACAGCTTCTCTTGACTCTTCCGGCTTTGCCCCCTCCAATAAAGTCTCGATGGAACGGCACTCTCGTCCCCCACTTCCCCTGGCCCCCTATTCTCTTCCCTTCCCCCGTTCAGACCTCAAGGATCTTAAAACGGGAACTCGCCCTCTGTGTCTGGGGCCCTGGACTTGAAAGAGGCGCGCTTTGTCTCCGTGGGGGAAGCTGTGAAAACGTGGCTTTCCCCGGGGCCTTTGCCACTTTCCTAATACCCGGTTTGGCTCAAAAAGCTTATTAAATTGTCACTTTCTTTCCCAGCCACCTACCCACCCATCCCCACTCCTGTTTTCTTCTCATCATTAGATTTCTCTCTGCCTCCTCTCCGCCCTTCTTTTGAAGGTGCCAATCCAATTAACCTGTCACACGTCCCCTTCTTTCCGTTAGTTTCGGAGGGCCAAGCCTGCCCTGCGTGGAAAAGTCTCTTTCGGTTTCTGTTGGGTTAAGCGGAAGAGAAAGGGAACAGATCCAGGTTTCACTCCCGGCCTATCCAGGCTCCTTCCAAGAGAGACGGAGTCTTCCGGGGATTCCAGCCCAGGGGGTGGGGCTGCTGAGGGTCCGCAGGGGTCCGGGAGACGCTGCGCAGTTTGGAGAACACCCCAAACCCCACTCCTGGCTGCCTCACCCGCCCCTCCCCTCCCAGAAATCCCCACGTAGCCCATTTTGGATGCAGGTAAGTGCAGGGCGTGCACGGAGACTCGGGGAGGGTGAAAAATGGGCCTCCTGGATGTTTGGGAAGGCCAGAGAGCCTCTGGAGCCCGGGGAGGCTGTTTTCACCCTCCTGGAGGCTCGAGGAAAGCCTCCGGAGCCCAGGGGGGGCAGAAATGCCCCCCCCCCCCGTGATGCAGGAGGCCAACTAGGCCACGCCCACCCAGCAACCGGGTAGAGAACTCCTTGCTAAAATATTTGAAGCGAACTCCTGCTCCAAGCTGTTCTAGTTCGGGCGATTTTACTGCCTTTTTCCTACGGGCGTTGCCGAGGGTTTTGTATGCCACCCCCAGCCAAGATGCCTCCTGTGTCATTTCTGTGGGCTGGGCGAAGCTCCCTCTGTTGGGGAGCGCGTTCCCCGTCCCGCCTCTCTCTAGGTTTGCTTTTGGGTCTCTTGGATTGCTTCTCGCTTTCACGGAGAGGAGCCAAGCCTCGGCCGCCACATTCTCTTCACGGTGTCAACCCTGAAGCTGGCTAAACTGAAGCCATCGTGGAGCTTCAGCGTTGCCACGCTGGAGCTGAAGGACAGGGAGGGGTGGGTGGGAATTAGAGAGAGCTGGGGTTTTGTAGCCAAAACAAAATACTTTCTCTTGGGAACCAAGGACATTCTCACACCTGGTCAGAGGAAGGAGGAGTGATGTCACCAGGCATCCAGACAGCGCCTTGATTGGACCATGTGACTGATTCTTTGGGGAAGGGGCAGAACTTTTACTTTTAATTAGGTGAAAACGTGGGAATCTTCAGAGTCTGTTTTCACAACCTGTGCCAATTGCTCTGACCAAGGCTTCCGAGCACATGCTCGGTTACAACAATTCCTGTTTTATTTCAACGCTGGGAATTAAGTTCATTCCCAGCCGGTAATGAGTCTCAAACTGTCCCTCGAGATAAGCACCCACCTCTCTCTCCTTTGAATTGCTGCCAACAACTAAAGTGCCAAATGAACTATAAAAAAACCAACCAAAGTACAAAGTCCACATGGAGTTTCAAGGATTAATCTGAACAGAATGAACGACTTTGCTTCCTGCAAAGGTTTCGTCACCTTTGCCTGTCCTTTATGCCTTGTGGGAGGGGCAATCACCTCCACGCCTTACTCCCGAGTCGCCTTTTGTGTCAGCTGCTCTTGCCTTCTGGCAGCTCTGCGCACACACGCACTGGGAACAGGCTCCCCTCGTTCCTCTGCCTCGCTGCTGCCAGACTCCTGAGGCTCCAGAGTCAGCACCCCACTCCCAGATGGTCTTGGCCCCATCTCTGCATTGGACGCAGGACCCTCGTCCGAGTCCTCCCCAGACTCCCGGACTGGTCCCCGTTCTTCCCCACAGTCCGATTCCGCTGCCGTCTGCACAGGCTGCACAGAACCACAACACCAATATGACATATCCAATCAAACTATTCTTTGAGGAATCTTACCTGCCTTGGTCTTTTGTGTGCTGTGCGTATGTGACTTGGAACCCTGACACATTGATGCTGCAGACGTTGTGTTTGGCTCTGCTCTTTGATGGGAAGAAGAAGGACGGTGTGAAGTTTCTGAATTTGCTGCCAATGATGGCAGGAAGCCCGTTAGTGCAGGGGTCGCCAACGCCCTGGCCGCGGCCCACCTCTGCGGCCTTGTGCCGTTTGGAACCGGGCCGCAGAAATGACAGGAGAGAGTGCGCAAGCGTGCATCTCCCCTTGCGCAAACGGCAAGCGAGCTTGTGCTCCAATCGAAAGGGGCTGAGGGCGCACACATGCACGCCGCTCATGCGGAACCATGCCCCCCTCTTCCACCACCCCCCTTCCCACCAGTCCACAAAGCCAAAAAAGTTTGAGGAACTCTGCCTTAGTTGCATTAGCCTCGCCTGGAGGAAATTTCTCTGCCTCTTCTGTGCTTGTCTGACCAGAACCTCCCCTTTTTCTCCTCGGCAGGGCGAGCCCATGAGGATAATTTACCGCATGCGAGGCCTGCTGGGGGATGCCACGGAAGAATTCATAGAATCGCTGGATTCCACTACAGGTACCATCCTTCTGTCCTGCCTCGGGGGGGGGGGGCACGGGAGGCTTGTCCTCGAGTCCAACGTCCGAGGGGAGCTGGCTTAAGAACTGTGTTTCTCCACTTCCGTGACTTTTAAGATCGGTGGGCTTCAATTCCCAGAATCCCCCAGCCAGCCACACCCTTCTAAAGAGGCTGAGGTTGAGAAACGCTGGTTTAGAGGTTTGGCCGTCACCCTCGGAGCCCAAGTTGCAAAACCGATGCTTTATCCTCTGTCCTGGAAGAGGTCAAGATTATCTTCAGGGCCAGGCATTGATTTAGCCAATGCATCCACCAGGTCTGCTGGCTCAGTGCTTCTTTTGAACATCCTCACCTTCCAAGGATGCTGGACCAGGAGGAGAATTTGGCCAAGCTGTGAGGGGACCTTGGTGCTGGCTTGAGCTGGCTTGCTTTCTTGCAGACGTTTCATTATCCTAACTAGGTAGCATCATCAGTGCTAGTAGGGACTGGGGTTTGTGGAGAAGGGGAGGAAGAGGAGGAGGAGCAGGAGATGAAAGACATGGAAGGGGGGAGGAGGAAGAGGAGGAAAAGATGAAGGGCATGGAAGTGGGGTTTGTGGAGAGGAGGAAGAGGAGGAACAGGAGGAGGAGATGAAAGACACAGAAGTGGAGGAGGAAGAGGAGGAGGAGGAGATGAAAGGCACAGAAGTGGAGGAGGAAGAGAAGGAGGAGGAGATGAAAGGCACAGAAGTGGACGAGGAAGAGGAGGAGGAGGAGATGAAAGGCACAGAAGTGGAGGAGGAAGAGAAGGAAGAGGAGGAG